CGTCAAGGGTGTACGCAGAGTGTGCGTGCTGCCGCTTGATGTGGCCGCGCACGCACTGCGTCCGTCAGACGTGTGCGCTCTTGTACTAGTGTTTGTGTTTGTTCTGTCAGCTGCGCGCTGCGCTGCGACATATGTTGTCGATGTTTACCTGTCCTGCCTTGTCCTGCCTGCCCAGTCAAGTTTGTTTGTTTGTTTGTTTGTTTGATTTATTGTTTGTTGTAGTAGTGTTTTCCCCCCGGGGTTGTTTTTTTTTTGCCTTTTATTTTATTTTATTAATAATAAATCCTACTTCACTCTGCGCTTGGGTGCTCGCTCCTTTTTCCCTTTACTGTAACGTGACAATTATATGTATTGATGATTATTTTAATATTAGGTCAGCTATTTCTATTTGTATACTGCTGATGAAGCATTTTTAAATTAACACAAAATATATAATTAAATAAAACTGTAATTAAAATATATAAATTTGATTCAAATATTATTAAAACAGATTTAATGCAGGTGGCGCAGTAGGTAGTGCAGTCGCCTCACAGCAAGAAGGTCGCTGGTGTAACGCCGAGGAGTGACACCACAACAGAAGGTAGGATCCAATATGCAGGTTTATTCTTTAGTCAGGCAAGCAGTGGTCAATACAGGAATGAACAGGTATGTTTGGGCAAATCCAGAGTCGAAGTCAATAAACAGGCAATAGGTCGTAAGGCAGGCGGCTAAACAGGATGACAAGGATAAACAGGGCTAAGAACCAAAACACGGGAAAACAAGACCAGGATAACGCGTTGTAATGTCACCAAACAGTAAACAAGACTAGGCAAACTGAAGGGGTGAATGTGTGGCTTAAATACTGTGTGTAATCAGTCTCTGAAAGTCCTCAGGTGTGAATGTAAATCAAGCTAAATGAGAAAGCAGGTGTGTGGGCGAAGAGCATGTATGAAGTTGTAGTCCAGGAAAAGTGTAGTTCTAAGTGTGTGTGTTTGCCAGCGACATCTGGTGGTTGTTCGCTGGTAAACATGACAGAGCCCCCCCTCTAAGGAGTGGCTTCCAGACACTCCTAATACTGTTCAGGCGGGAGGTGGAGCGGAGGCCGAACTGGGGGAGGGATGGAGGGCCAGGACCATGCAGCGGGGGCAGGACTGGAGCATGGAGCTGCGGAGGGCCTGGAGCGTGGAGCTGCGGAGGGCCTGGAGCGTGGAGCTGCGGAGGGCCTGGAGAGTGGAGCTGCGGAGGGCCTGGAGCGTGGAGCTGCGGAGGGCCTGGAGCGTGGAGCTGCGGAGGGCCTGGATCAAGAGGCTGCGACCATTGGGGAAGCTTAGGTGGCAGCGGCCATTCAGGAAGTTCAGGCGGCGGCCATTCAGGGAGCTCAGGCGGCGGCCATTCAGGGAGCTCAGGCGGCGGCCATTCAGGGAGCTCAGGCGGCGGCCATTCAGGGAGCTCAGGCGGCGGCCATTCAGGGAGCTCAGGCGGCGGCCATTCAGGGAGCTCAGGCGGCGGCCATTCAGGGAGCTCAGGCGGCGGCCATTCAGGGAGCTCAGGAGGAGGCCATTCAGGAAGCTCAGGAGGCGGCCATTCAGGAAGCTCAGGAGGTGGCCATTCAGGAAGCTCAGGAGGTGGCCATTCAGGAAGTTCAGGCGGCGGCGGCCATTCAGGAAGCGGCGGCCATTCAGGAAGCTCAGGAGGCCATTCAGGAAGCTCAGGAGGCGGCGGCCATTCAGGAGGTTCAGGTGGCGGTGGCTCTGGCAGCTCTGGCGGCAGCGGCACTGGCAGTTCTGGAGGATCTGGCAGCTCTGGAGGGTCTGGCAGCACTGGAGGGTCTGGCAGCTCTGGAGGGTCTGGCAGCTCTGGAGGGTCTGGCAGCTCTGGAGGGTCTGGCAGCTCTGGAGGGTCTGGCAGCTCTGGAGGGTCTGGCAGCTCTGGAGGGTCTGGCAGCTCTGGTAACTCAGGTGGTGGAGGCCATTCTAGGGGCTCAGTTGATGGCGTTTCAGGAACTAGAACAGGAACTATGGCAGGAACGGACAAGGAACAGGAAACCATCTTGTGAGCTAGTGGCAGATTGGCGTTTACCACATTGTGAGTTGGAGGGCTGGTTGTGACCACATTGTGAGCTGGAGGACTGGAGTCGGCCATCTTGTGAGCTGGAGGACTGGAGTCGGCCATCTTGTGAGCTGGAGGACTGGAGTCGGCCATCTTGTGAGCTGGAGGACTGGAGTCGGCCATCTTGTGAGCTGGAGGACTGGAGTCGGCCATCTTGTGAGCTGGAGGACTGGAGTCGGCCATCTTGTGAGCTGGAGGACTGGAGTCGGCCATCTTGTGAGCTGGAGGACTGGAGTCGGCCATCTTGTGAGCTGGAGGACTGGAGTCGGCCATCTTGTGAGCTGGAGGACTGGAGTCGGCCATCTTGTGAGCTGAAGGACTGGAGTCGGCCATCTTGTGAGCTGGAGGAGCAGCCATCTTGTAAGCTGGAGGACTGGAGGCGGCCATTTTGTGAGCTGGGTGTGTGGTAGTGGAATGAGCAGCAAGCCCCGTTGCCAGCGGGTCTTGCTGTCCTTTGCCCCCCCCCAAAAAATATTTAGGGGTGTCCTCCACCTTGCCAACAGTGAAGGGAGACCCACTCATTTGCAGTGCAAGATCAATGTATTTTTCCAATGTCCAGTGGGGTTCGTACAGTGGTATACATGAATACAGAGGTTCAGATAACCCGCCATGGAAAAATATCATCTGGCACAAATTGTCCAAAGCTGTAAGGTGGGCTACCTGAATAAAGTCCTCCACGTATTCTTCGATGGGGCGATCTCCCTGACGAAGACGCATGAGTTGAATTCCTGCTGGATCCATTTTGAGGCCGAGTCTTCTGTAACGCCGAGGAGTGACACCACAACAGAAGGTAGGATCCAATATGCAGGTTTATTCTTTAGTCAGGCAAGCAGTGGTCAATACAGGAATGAACAGGTATGTTTGGGCAAATCCAGAGTCGAAGTCAATAAACAGGCAATAGGTCGTAAGGCAGGCGGCTAAACAGGATGACAAGGATAAACAGGGCTAAGAACCAAAACACGGGAAAACAAGACCAGGATAACGCGTTGTAATGTCACCAAACAGTAAACAAGACTAGGCAAACTGAAGGGGTGAATGTGTGGCTTAAATACTGTGTGTAATCAGTCTCTGAAAGTCCTCAGGTGTGAATGTAAATCAAGCTAAATGAGAAAGCAGGTGTGTGGGCGAAGAGCATGTATGAAGTTGTAGTCCAGGAAAAGTGTAGTTCTAAGTGTGTGTGTTTGCCAGCGACATCTGGTGGTTGTTCGCTGGTAAACATGACAGCTGGTTTAAGCCTCGCCTGGGTCAGTTGGCAATTCTGTGTGGAGTATGCATGTTCTTCTTGCGTACGCGTGGCGGTCTATTCCGCTGTGGCAACCCCAGATTAATAAAGGGACTAAGCCAACAAGAAAATGAATGAATGAATGAATGAATGAGATTAAATGCGTATAAAGAAAAGAAACAAAGAAAGACGTACATTCCTATAATGAGAAGAAATAAAATGTAATAATTTAACTTAATTAAACTGAATTTCCCCCAACATTATTTTAGACCTATTTATGTTCTTTTGTGTGTGTGTGTCCTTTGCATTATTGATACTGCATTTATGGTTTCAAAACCCCTATTTTATGTGAATACATTTTAAAATGCATTTTTTCTTGATTTCAGGGCTGAAGTATCAGCAGAATTACTTAATTTAGTTTTGAGAACAATCGAGCACATTTTAATTCGAGCACTGAAAACTGAATGGGCTAAAGCTTGGAAAAAAATCTTACTTCAACCAAATACATATTTAAAATATGTGTTTATGCCTCTATAATATTATAATATATTATGCATGCATGAATGACAGATGAGCTTTTTTGAATGATGTGTTCTTCTAGAATGCAAAAACATTCTTTTTCTTATGCATGCCATTTTTTCTACATCAAGCTTCAAAAGTACAGCTTCAAGTAAATACTTCCTGCTAAACAGCATTCATGTGCATCTGTGCATGCTTGAAATTCCTGTGTTTAGGTTAGAAATAATTAGATATTGTTTTAAAAACAGATTTAAATAAGACATGTTTATAATCAATAGAAAATTACAGGTGTATTAGTATCTGCTTTGTTTTATAAAATCACAAATTCTTTTATACTTAACAGCATCCCATTTAATTCATACTTAAAGGGATAGTTCACCCAAAATGAAAATTCTGTCATCAAATTCTGTCAACCTTGATGAGTTTTGTTCTTCTGTTGAACACAAAATAAGAGCTTTTGAAAAAAGCTGAAACCTGTAACTATTGGCTTCAACAGCAACAGTGTAAGATATATCTCAATGGTTACAGGTTTTCAGCTTTCTTCAAAATCTCTTATTTTGTGTTCAAGAGAAAACTGAGACACATAAAGATTTGAAATCACTTGAGGGTGCCTAAACAGTAAATAATTTTTTATTTTTGCAAAAAAAAGAAAAGAAAAAAAAAGAAAAGAAAATTCTGTCATTATTTACTCACATTTCACTTGTTCAAACAGAAGTTTCTTCTTCTGTTGAACACAAAGAATGGTAAAATGCTGGTTGCTGGCTTCCCAATGAGTTTTTCTTATTTTAATGGGAAGTTTATGGTAGGTAGCAACAAGCATTTTTAAAGATATCTTAGTTTGTGTTTAACAAAAGAAAGAAACTCAAAACCAGAGAGAATACATTGACGATTTACTTTTGAACTATTAAATTAAGGAAAGTTAGTTTTTAAGAGCTGTAGCCTTCAGATGTTTTCCAAACCACACCCTATAGCACACCTACTTTTCATTAAACCCTCTTCTCCCAAATCATCTTTAGACAACGACAAACCGATATCACAAACATCTCTGTACAGACAAGGTGAGCTTTTTTATTGGTAATGCAAAAAGAGAAAAAAAATGTTCGTTTTTTTTAAATCAGATATAGTATTAAATTGTGCAACATTGAAGAAATATAAGCAAAGCAAAGTACTACAAAGACTATTTTTAGTGTACATGATTGATGTTTATTTTAATGCAGTGGTTCTCAAACTGTGGTACGTGTACGTGGGCTTCCTTCTAGTGGTAGGTGGATGAATTAATGTCATATACATGCAAAATATATTTTAAAATTAATCACGAATGAATTATGTATGAATATTATGACACATAGCCTATACTTATGTGGTCCAAGCAATATTTCCAGGTTTTGATAAATAGTTGATATGATATGTTAATACTTTTGATTTTGGAGTTCAGTAGTTTTTTTTTTACTTTTTAAGAACAGTAGTGTACCATTTTTTTGTTCACTTTTAAAAGCACATTTTAAGTCAATCGTTGACGTTTTATTTTGTTTGTTTTTTACCTGCAAGCACAGTACAGTGTTAATGTTCAAACCTTTTATAATGTTTAAAGCGGCCGACAATAATATTCTTATAGGAATGAATCTGCCTGGTTTTTGAACTATGCAGAGCTGTATAGCAACTAAATTAGACCTACTACTGTGTTTCAATTCTGGTCATTATGGTGGTACTTGAAGAGACCATTTTCTTCTGAGGTAGGCTACTCGATGAAAAATGTTTGAGAACCGCGGTTTTAGTGTTTATGAAAGTAAATAGTATCCTAGAAAAATGCTAAATACATTAAATAAATGCACACGAGCCTTATATCCGTTTAAAAAAAAGTGCTTTTATGCATGTTGTGGGTTCACGTTTCGCAGGTGAATTTGCTTCACTCTCTTTATCACTCGCTGCTAGATATTTTTGAAACATTTAAAAAATTAGTGCGTTTTTTTAATGTCTTTTAAATCTATCTCTCTATGAATGGCTGAAATAAATTGATGTAAAATTAAGGGAAAAGTTGAACCTATGTTAAAACGGTTAGAAAAATATATTGGGCCTATTTAAATATTTACGATTATATATTTGGTTTTTAACTGCTAACATGTGAGTAGATAGTGACCTCTAGTGTTAGCAGATGTTTTATTCCAGCAAAATGTCAAAAGATCAATGACTATTTATAATATTAATTGTAGATTTAGTTGAACAAATAAATGAATTAATGAATAAATAAATAAATACATTTTGCTAGAAACTAGATTGTATGTAAGAGCTTTTATAAGCCTTTTAAGACTAAATAAAGAAAATCTAATTAATGATTTGATTTAGCTAGATTTCTCAGAAAACAAGACTTCCTCCCTTTACTGATATGGCTGCATTACAAACTTGTACGAGTAGTTCTTAAAAGTAGAAAACAAAAAGTGTTTTTCTGTTTTAATTGATCACTGAAAAAGTCTGTAAAGAACCCAAAATAATTTTGTTATCTGCATGAGCATAAAACCCTTGGAAACCTTTATTTTTGAGTGCTCATTTTGCATTGCAAGAAAATGTGTCTTGATTTGTTTATATATGTTCTGAAAGCTCTTTAATTTGCCGCAACTTTATATATTCCACTTAAATATCTTCATCTTTTAACTGTGGAAGTCTAGAACAAAACTGTAAAAATAAAAACTTTATAAGATCTGAATAAATGTTAGTCATGATTTTTTGGTGACATTTACAGAGTTGCTTTGCTTTTTGCTTTTTCAGACTAATCATCATGTCCGATGAAGTCAGTGTCTTGTGGGACCTTTTACTCAAACTCGACACAAATCCTTATCAGATAGTAAGAACAAACTGAATCCTTTCATGAAGACAATGTGCTGAGAGAGAAACGGAGAAACTCAGAACTAAAACAGAAGACACTAGAAGTCGTCCAGTTAAACAAGAGAGAAACTATGGAAAATCCACAACAGAAAGCCAAACAGAGTAGTTTAGTGCTGGAATCAAAGCTTGATGAGCTTAAGAAAAGAGAGAGACAGAGAGAAATGAATGAGAACAATAAAGAAAAGCAACCAGAAAAAGAAACGATAAATGTAGCAAATGAAAAAGAACGATCAGAAGATGCTAAAGTATCCAATGTTGACATGAAACACAAAAAAAAATGTCTTGAGGAGCAAAATAAGCAAACTAAAGAACCGACTAAATATTACTCTAGTTATCCAATTAATGAAATGAAACTCATAAAGAAAAACAACAAATTAATGAATATGCAAATACAAGAATGTAATGTTGACATGATACAAAAGGAAAAATATATTGAGAAACTAAACAAGCAATTCAAAGCTGGAGATTCATCTGATGTAAACACAAAACATAAACACAAGGCTGCTAAAAAAGAGGAAGAAGGAGAAAAAATTAATATTCCAATTCAAATAACTAATGATGATGAAAATAGATTGATTAGACAAAAGGGTGAAAAAGCAACAGAGATCCTTAAAACAAAGCCTGAAGGTAATGGAAAAGGTCATTTACAACACCTGTATGATGCTATAATGGATAAAGATGTTTTGACAGAAGAACCAACTCAATCTAACTCTAGTGAACCGATAAAGCTTAAAGAGAATTATGGTGAATTGATGAAGATGCAGAAGCAGGAACTGTCCAATTCCAGAAAACCACAAGATACACATTCTCACAGTACTGCTAAAGAAAATGTGAGTTTAAAATCAGCAAGCACTGTACAAGTTGAGCATATATATGAAATGCCTGATGTTCATCTCAATAGTTCTGCTGAATACATTAATGAAATGGAATGTGTGATTGAGCAAAACAAGCAACTGGGCAACGTCACGCTTCATGTTGCTGTAACAGGTTCAACTGGAGCAGGAAAATCCAGCTTCATCAATGCAGTAAGAGGTCTTACATCTGATGATGAAAATGCAGCTCCTACAGGTGTGACTGAGACGACGTTGGTGCCAATGATGTACAAACATCCTACAATGCCAAATGTTGAATTGTGGGATCTGCCAGGGACTGGAAGTCCTAAATTTAAAGCCAAGAAATACCTAAAAGAGGTGAAACTTGAGACCTTCGACTTCTTTATCATCATTTCCTCAGAAAGATTCAAGGAAAACGACATCATGCTGGCTAATGCGATTAAAGAGAGGAAGAAGCTGTTTTATTTCCTCCGCTCAAAGATCGACAATGACATTCATGCTGAATCTCATAGGAAAGACTTTGATGAGCAGAAAGTGCTCTCACACATTCGTGAGGACTGTCACAGGAATCTGAAGGACATGGATGACCCACATGTTTTCCTAATATGTTCCTTTGAACTGCACAAATATGATTTTCAGACATTTGTCGACACATTGGAGAAGCAGCTGCCTGATCACAAGAGAGATGCTTTGATTTTGTCCTTGCCAATATACTCCTCAAAGATTTTGGAAGAGAAAATTGAAATATTTATGAAGCAAACCTGGTCGGCAGCTGTTGCTTCTGGCTCTGTGGCTGTGGTTCCAGTGCCTGGTCTTTCCATGGCCTGTGATGCTGCCATTTTGCTGGGTTTCTTCATCAAGTGTTACTATGCATTTGGTCTGGACGAAAAATCAATAGATAAGCTGTCTGTGAGGGTCAACAACCCATCTCTGAAAGCTATAAGAAGGTCACCTCTAGTGGTCGCTATTGGGCAAAAGAAACTCACCAATAAGGAGCTGTCGGCACTGACTAGCAAAGAGGCAGCTGTTAAGTTTGCATGGAGCATGGTTCCTGTTGTAGGGAGTAAAAAAACAGCACAAATGTCTTACTCTACAACACTGAAACTTCTGCGTACAGGAGTTCAGGATCTTGCTGAAACAGCCAGAGAAGTGTTGAAAGCTGCAGGAGTGACTGGTGTCTATTAAAATAAAACAAAAAATCTGAACTGCTGTGGTTACATATCATTTTGATTTCATGCACAAAGTTAAGTTGACTTTAAATGCACTTGTGAATACCAGCCATAAAAAAGCATACAAACTAAACCAATATATAGCCAAAAAAAGGAGAGACATTGTTTCTGAAATCTTTGGGATTTTTTTTTTTTTGGTTGAGTTTTGCATTTTCCTCTGGAATATTATTGGTTTTGTTTTTTCCTCTGCCACTTTATATGGCATTTTACACTGAAAGAAATGTTTGTGTCTGATGAATTTGTTTTATTAATACTTTAGCTAAATATGTTTCTGTACTAATGATAAACGTTACAAAAGACAAATAAAACAACATATTATTTGATTTAGGAAATTTGAATTACTTAAATTTCTTATCTTGATATTTTTGTCATTTGTTTTACTCAGTATGCTGATACAAAAGTGTTAATTTTTAATGCTATTTGTTAGTTTTTAAAAATGACCTTGAAAACGTTTAAAACATTAAACAGAACCTTTAAAAAACAGAAATGTCCAAATCTTTGCCATCTTAAGCAACTCTTCTTTCCTCACTGTAGCACAATTCGGTGTGTTGTGAGAAATTACAGCAGATTTCGTTAAATGTTTGCATTGTGAGAAAGTGCAGCATGTTTTAGGGCATACTCAAACTATGCTATCCGAACCATGCCCAAGCCTGTTTACCGGATCATTTGAGAAGTGTGAGTACTCTGAATCGGGCTCAAGCACAGTTCACTTGGTCGGCCCTGGCCTGGTTGGAAGAGGTGTGCCAGAGTGCGGTTCACTTGGGCTTTGGTGCGGTATACTTGTGTGTGAGTGCAAAACCTGCCTGAGGTTAAAACTTAAAGCAAGACGTGACTTTCATATGGATTTAATAATCATTCTAACTGTTCAATGAACACAAAATGTCAACGTTTATTAAAGATGCAAACTCCTCACTGCACGACAGCTGCAACTTTAGAAAACCTTCTAATACCTGCAGCACGAGGACTTTATGATTGTTTATGAGCGTCAAAAGTGGCTGATCTGTTCGGCTAAATATTTGACTGCATGTCACTGCATATCAAATGACTAAAACGATATAACTAAAGAAATCTTAACTGTGCTGAGTGAGAGCGCTCACTGAACAGTGCATCATCGATGACGTAAGCGTGCCCAGGACCGAATGTAATGTGAATGCAGGCCGTCGGGGGAGACGGGAGTGGGGGACAAGTATGCTTTGGCCCGGTTCAAGGCAACTGTACATGGTGTAAGTACGCCCTTATTAACTGTTCGCATTGTGTGAAAATGCAGCACATTTAAAAAAAAATTGTGTTTGCGTTGTGACGATTTGCAGCACGTCTGCTGTCAAACTGGTGAAGATATTTTCTAGCTCTCACACCACTGTAATATTCATAATAAATAAAGATCTCGTTCAATTGCGCTTAAAATTGAACTGAAATTAAATTACTTCCTTTTTAACTGAAATTACTTCCTTTTAAACGGAGAATTCATGCACATACACATGAAATCACTTGCATATATGTATACTGTATACACAATTAATTGTATATATGTTTGTGAAAATTTAAAAAAAAATTTTTTTACATGATGTGTTATGTGAGTGTTTATGCATCAAGTTCATTTTCTTATGTGAGAGTTTATGGGCACATATGCAAAGTTAAAGTTTATATGTATGTGCGTGTGTATGTGGGTGTATGCATGCATCAAGTTTATATGAAAATTTTTTCGAACATCTGATAGTATAGGTGTATATGCAAGTAATTTATAAGTGTAAATGCATGTGTTTTATGGATGTGTTGATAAGCAAAGTTTGATTTAAATCCTACACGGCACCTCATAGAACTACCACTCCCCAGCCAGCAATGACATGTGGGGCCCAGATGAGGCCTTCATGGGCGTCAAATGTGGGCCCCATTATGGGCTTGCACCCGGGATCCACATTGGGGCCAGTCGTGGAAGCCCAGACGTACTAAAAGTAGGACCTGTAATGGTACTGCATGGGTCCTAACTGGGCAATTCATGCCAAATCCATTTGGGCCCCACCTGCCCAAAGGGGTTTAAAGTGGTTTTGCACCCGGGATCCACATAGGGGCCAGCCTTGGATGCCCAGATGGGTTTTAAGTGGGATCTGTGAGGGTCTTATGTGGGTCTTAACCGGGCAATTCATGAAAGACCCAGTTGGGCCCCACCTGCTTAAAGGGTTTAAAATGGGCTTGTATTTGGGATTCACACGGGGGCCAGCCTTGGATGCCCAGATGGATTTTAAGTGGGTTCTGTAAGGGTCTTATGTGAGTCTTAACTGGGTAATTCATGTCAGACCCATTTGGGCCCCACCTGCTCAAAGGGGTTTAAAGTGGGCTTGCACCAGGATTCAACCATAAATGCTCATATGGGCTTAAAGTAGGCTCTGTAAGCATCTTATGCTGGTCCTAACTGGGCAATTCATGAAAGACTTATTTAAGTTCAACCATGCCAAATGGTTTAAGGAAACAATCTAAGAAAAATGTAAAAGGAAGATAAATACAAGAAACTTGATGCATTGATCTGCAAGAAATATATTAAACTGAACAAATTTTAAAAAGTTAGTACACTCATGCATTAATCCACAAATGTATATGTGGAAAGGTAAGCATGATCAAACACCCAATAAAGGGGGAGAGCATGCTCAGAGCCTGGCGGCTAATCAGCAGGCCAATCAGAAATAATAAGCAACACCTGTTTATTCCTGTGATTGGGCCGGAGAGACACCCGTCCTAAGGAGAACAGGAGGAACAGTCTGGAGAGAGAGCTGAGCGACGACCACACAGTGGGAGCTATCATTTGTTGCACCTCAAAAAAATAAAAAGATTGTTACTTACCTCAACGCTGACCCTGTCTTCTTCTTCCCACACAAAAAACCTTTGTTACAGTGGTGCCAAAACCCGGGAAGAAGAAGCGACCTCGCCGCTAAGATGACCACTCCGTCAACCAGTCTATTTGCGGAAGTGATCCAGGTGCTCGTGGTCCTCCACCGTGAACAGCACCAGGAGATCCTGGACATCCGGGCCGAGCAGAAGGAGCGGTTCAAAGTCCTGGTGGAGGCCCAGCGTGAGGACCGCGAGCTCGTTCGGAGCATGCTGAAGCAGAGGATCCAGCCCGCAGCAACATCAGCCACCCACCCTCCCATCACACTACACAAAATGGGGCCGCTTGATGACCCGGAAGTCTTCTTGGACTTGTTTGAGAAAATGGCAGGAGCGTGTGGGTGGCCGCGGGCCGATTGGCTGGTGAGAGTCATCCCGCAGCTGTCGAGCGAAGCCTAAACCACCGCACAGCAACTACCGGCCGAGGATCTCCTGAATTATGTGCACCTGAAACGAGCCATACTTCAGCGGGCCGGCCACAATCCGGAGGAACAACGCCAGAGCTTCCGGTCGCTGAAGCTGGAGAAAAAGCGGCCGGCCCTTCATATTCGCCCAGCAGCTCCGTGACGCCTGCCGCAGATGGCTGGTGCAGGATGACCGGACCATCGATCAGATCGTCGACGCTGTGGTACAAGAACAGTTCATCACCTGCCTTCCCTCCCGAACATCGGAGTGGGTCCAGTGCCACCGACCAGACGATCTGGAAACGGCCATCCAGCTGGCGGAGGATCACCTGGTAGCGAGGTCCAGGGTCGGCGAAGTAACCTCTCTCTCTCTCCCCCTGTCTTTCCTCTTTCTCTCTCTCCTCCTATCCCCAGGCCCAGATCGAGGGGACCGCCCATCCTGACTCCCAGGAGGCGGATCCCAGGTCCGGAGCCCCAGCGCATCATGCATCGCTGGGGCACCTATCAGGATAGAGACGGGGAGGCACGTGCCATGGGCGGGCCTACAGCAATGACGGGTCTCTCTCCAGCCCAATCAGTTGGTCCTGCTTCCCCTGGGGGTATGACGGGAAGGTCTGGGCCGGCATGTTGGCATTGCGGGGGGGGAGTATCATGCACCAGAGAACTGCTCCGTGATAGAGGTGGGTGCATTGGTCCGCCTGCCCGATGTGCCAGCAGTCGCCCCCGGTCGCGACGGGCTATACCGGATACCTGTGAGTATAAAAGGGGGTACATATCAAGCTTTGGTGGATTCGGGGTGTAATCAGACCTCCATCCACCAAAGCTTGCTTCAATACCCGGCTTTGAAAACGAGCTGCACGGTAAGGGTAAGGGGTGTACACGGGGATGTAATTCACTACCCGCTAACGGCAATAGACATTCAATTTCGGGGGAAAAAGCATAGAGTAGAGGTAGCGGTTAACCCGCACCTCAAACACCCGCTAATTCTGGGAACTAATTGGCCTGGATTTAATAGATTATTGGGAGTTTTATGTGTGGGTGTTTCTTGGAAGAAGAAATCGCCGGATAGGGGGCGTGTCGCTCAGCTGGGGAAATCCCAGGCGGTGACATCATGCGCTGACTCAGGGGAAGGGCTGGGAATTTCCCAGTATAAAGACTTTCCCCTGGAGCAGTCGCGTGATGATACACTAAAACATGCACTCGAAAGAGTTCAGGGTATTGACGGGAAAATCCTCCAGCCTGATTGACCCCTCTCCTACCCGTATTTTGCGGTTATTAATGATAGGGTGTATCGAGTGACCCAAGACACTCAAACAAAAGAAAATACAACCCAGTATTTAGTACCAAAGAGCCGCCGGGAAATGCTTTTTCAGGCGGCTCATTCTAATCCTATGGCTGGACATTTAGCTCAGGCGGCCACAATAAATCGCCTCATGATCCGATTCTTTTGGCCGGGCATTCACGGTTATGTCAGCAGATGGTGCGCGGCGTGCCATGAATGTCAGCTGGTAAATCCACCGGCCACCCCAAAAGCGTCGTTGAGCCCATTACCAATTATGGAGATCCCCTTCGAGAGAATTGGTATGGATCTCATTGGGCCATTAGAGCGATCCACACACGGGCACCGGTTTGCATTAGTTCTGGTGGATTATGCAACCCGATACCCGGAAGCAGTCACGCTCCGTAACATCTCGGCAAAGAGCATTGCGGAGGCGCTGTTTCTGATAATCTCCAGAGTGGGAATCCCCAAGGAGATTCTCACTGATCAAGGCACCGCATTCATGTCACGCACGATACGCAAGCTTTACGGATTATTGGGCATTAAATCTATTCGCACCAGCGTCTATCACCCACAAACAGACGGGCTGGTGGAAAGGTTTAATCGCACGCTTAAATCAATGATCCGTAAATTCGTTCACGAGGACGCGAAAAATTGGGATACGTAGTTAGAGCCTTTATTATTTGCTGTGCGGGAGGTTCCCCAAGCCTCCACGGGTTTTCCCCCCTTTGAGCTTTTCTACGGCAGACAGCCCAGAGGG